TAGAGCTGGGAAACTTCATCTCATCTTCTCCTGCCCTCGAACTGGGCTTTACATCATTGGCTCCTGGTTCTCAGGTCTTTGGACTTGGACTGAATTACACCATGGCTTTTCTGGATTTGCCCATCAAGGGATAAGTGCATGACCCAATTCCAATCTATCTGTCGTCTCTATCTCCTATTGGTTCTGTTTTTCTGGAGAACCCAGACTATACACCAGGGGTCCTCAAACTTTAAACAGGGGGCCAGTTCACTGTCCCTCAGACCACTGGAGGGCCAGACTGCAGGTCCCAGGACAAGTCGGCTGCTAAGCAGGGCAGGCAGCAGCGGCAAAAACACCCAGTGGGCAGATAAATGTCCTTGGCGGGCCGCATGTGGCCCAAAGGCCATAGTTTGAGGACGCCTGCTGTACACTAACCTTTTTTTCCCTCCAAATGCACCTTGAATCCCTTTACAAAGGCTCTCTGGTACCATGGAGGAGAGAGGTGCTGTCACACCAAGGCAGGGAGGGGGACCAGAGACAAAGACCCACAACCTCTGCCTCCAGAGGAAAGAAGTGTCAGGAAGTAACCTTCAAGCCTCCCTTAAAGAAGACAGTCTAGTTTTTGCTGCTTCTATTACCCTAGAACGCCGGATCTCTTCCTCACATACTAACACTCCTTTTTACAGCAAATCATTTGTAACACCCCCCCACCCCACCCCCACTCCCGCCAGCTTCCTGAAGTAAAACTTCACAGATAATATAATCAGCCCTGGCAGGGAATTAAAAAATAAAATATTCTAACCGTAATATACATTAGAAATTAAAGGCAATTTATAATTTCCGTGTGGAGAGATTGGCCAAAGCCCCACTAGGGACGTGACGTCACTTTCACCTATTTATATAAGGATAAATGTAAGAGAAATTGCTTTATATTTATATTTGACATTTTGGAAATAACAGCTAAGCATTTCCAAGAAAAAAAGATTTTCCAAAATGCCACACACATCTCGATACAATTAGGAAGACAACAAAGCCCAGTCTCCCCAGAACGCACATGCTAAGTGAGGTCGTTGGACAGTAACGCGTGAGGACGACAGCCCCGCTTGTCCACGTGTAAGTGACTTGCAGGAGTAGATTCCGGGCGGAGATCCGTAATGACAGGGTTTGCACGTTGACAGCGTGTGGCGGCACGTTTGGAAGTTGCGCACGTCGCGCAGCACCCTGGGACGAGCTGCAACGCCCTGGCACTTCCCAGCCCACGAAGTGGCGGCAGGTGGGCACTGAGCGGACCTGGCGCTTCTTGTGGTGGGGGAGCAGGGGACGAAGCCACAGCAGCTCCGCCCGCCCGCCGGGAAGTGTCCCGGGCCACAGAATCAATGCGCTCGCGTGCCTTCTGGGGACCCGGTTCAGACGTCCCTGTAATAAGGGGGAGCCCCTTGTCTTCCCGGGCGCGCCTGGCTGGAAAGTTTGGCGCCACTTCGCCGTTCTTCCTAAGTACCGCCAGGGGGCGCGCTGAGCCCGGGAGCCGAACGGTTGCAGGCGAGTGACCAAACGCTGGCAGGTGCGCGTGGGGGTTGCAAGCTGAGTACAACTCAAAAAGAATTCACCTTGTACTTGCATAGTGCTAGACCGTCTGATCTTTTACAGCACTGTCCAATTTTACAATATTCTCTATGAGCACTGAACAATTTTGTAAATTTCCAGACTTCTCATATAACATAATTTTGCTATGTTACAGCAGTTTTCATGTTCTCCAGGAAACAGACCACCGGAAACAGGTAAAACAAACGTATTGGTCAAACAGTTAGCCCCTACTTGCCTACCCTATGCCCGCTTTCACCCACAGTTTTCTTCTAGAAATAATAGTAACAAAAATAATAGCACAAAATAACTTTTTATTTTTTAGAGACAGAGTCTCACTTTGTTGCCCTTGGTAGAGTGCTGTGGCGTCACAACTCACAGCAACCTCTAGCTCTTGGGCCTACCCCCACAACGCCTAGCTATATTTTGATGTAGTTTGGCCAGGGTGGGGTTTGAAGCTGCCACCCTCGGTATGTGGGGTTGGCACCCTACCCACTGAGCCACAGGCACCACCCCCACAAAATAACGGTTTTGAGGAACTTAACCATGTATCATTGTTTGGGGTACCTTATGTGAACGCACTAATTTTATCTGCACTAATAACACTATGAAGTGGGTATTGTCATGTGATGAACCATATGGTAGGAAATGGAGACCTGGAGAGCTTAGTAGCCTGCCTAAGATTGCATGGCCGGCAAGTGGCAGTACACCTCCAAAGAACAGTAAGTAGTCAAAGCTTCCTGGGAGGGAACCCCACCTGCTGGGAGGAGGAGATTTGGAATAACAGCCATCCTTGTACTATAAGAAAAAAGTCACTGTGCAGCCCCAGATGTTGTTTCTTCAAAAATAATTTTGATTTTCTTCAAAATCTACATGCATTTGTATTCTCAGGTACCCTGGAGGCTGAGGTGGGAGGATTGCCTGAGCCCAGGAATTCAAAGCCAGCCTGGGCAACATAGTGAGACCCTATCTCTACAAAAAATAAAATGCCTCCCCAAGAGATGAGGTCGAATTTGTGCTTCTTGGTCTGATGAGGGCATCTCATACCTCCCTCCACCCACACTTGCCCTTGCCCCTGCCTGTGGGGAGCAGGCTATGGGCGGCAGGGCCCCCATAGCCTGGGAAATGCTCAGAGAGCGACTTCCAGCCACTTCTCCTTTAACAACATTCTTTCACCTGCCAGAAGTCATGTAGCCCATGCACACTTTTCCTTGTTAACAGCAAGCACACGGTTTTCCCTCTTTAAGGACGATCTCTACTCCATGTGTTAAGATTTATGGAACCTGGGTGGCATCTGTAGCTCAAAGGAGTAGGGTGCCGGCCCCATATGCTGGAGGTGGCGGGTTCAAACCCAGCCCCAGCCAAAAACTGCAAAAAAAAAGATTTAGGTAACCTTAAGACACTGTATAAATAAAGCTATTTCCACAGTTCAGGTGCTGGCGGCAGCCATCAGCTGCGTCAGTTCTCTCGACTCCATCCTAGCTCTCGTCTCCTGTCTATCTTTGCCTCTCCCTGTCTTTCATGGCTTTATTTCTTCATTCTCACAATTTCTATCCAGGTCACCTCTCCCTCCTCGCTCTGAGTTGGGAGATCTGCCCCTGTCCTTGCCTCACTGCTGTTCAGCCACCGAGGAGAGAAACCTGAGACTCACAGTGGGCTGCTCCCCCCCATATCTCCCAACCTCCCCCACCTGACTCCCGCAGCAAACCCTTTCTTAGCTTCAGGTCTGCTGGACTGTTCTCAGAAGGTCTTCATGGCCTCAGTACCTGGAGCTTTCCTACGCCCACATCCTGGCCCACACTTGTCGTGATCCAGCTTTCTTAATTAAATATAAAGCGATACTTCCGTTGTTCTAATTTGCACTTGTGTAGTTCACATTTAGGTCTTTAATCCCTCTGTGTCTGTACTGGTAGATTGCTGGAACCCCTGGATTCTGTTTCCCTGGTATCCCGGGCCTCTGGGCTCTCCTCTGCATGCCCTTCAGTAACTGCCCAGGACCCCTGAACAAATGTGCACAGTTCTCACTCCACCCAAAGCCTGCAGAATCGGACGGACACTCAGCTCTTCCTCTGCCTGCTGCCTTTGTCTAGGCCCAGCACAGATGGAACGCAGACCTCCAAGACCCCTGCAGCCTAGCCTCACCTCCTCTGCCCTCTCCAGCCCTTGCACACCACTGGTTCACTTCTTCCTCTCCAGATTTTGCCCCAAGCCAGTCCACACTGCAGCTGGGACAGACACTAGGTTGAGGGATGTGCAGGGCACAGTCCAAGGAGATGAAGATGGGAGTGCCTGGCAGTGGGGATGAGAAGTGGCTCAGAAACTGCAAGCCTCAGAGTTCATTGCCTTGTTGGCCACGAGAATTAAGGGGCAGAAGAACACACCCAGCTCAGGAACTGCTGGAGGGGACTCAGGACGAGTTGGGGACAGAGCCCAGGTTAGATGTGTCTATGGCTGGCAGCAGAACACAGGCTCTGAGCAGGTGGATATGAGTGCAGAGCCTGAAAAAGCTGAGCTCAGGAGGAGAGGAGGCCCCACTCCCACCCCGGCATGCACCAGGTGAGGCAGGATGACTGGGAACCTTGAGGAGCAGGAGGTGGTCGAGGAAGACTGAGAGAGGCCGGGGCTGGGTGAGAGGGCAGCGGGAGTCCTGAGAACAAGGGAGAACAGCTCCAGAGAGAGCAGCCCACAGGGCCGGATGTGGCGAGAAGCTTGCCACCCAGCCCACCCCACCTGTGCCCCACACTTTGGACCTCCTGTTTCTCCTTAGAAACACCGTCATGTGTGTTGACCCTCGTGTCACGAAAGCCAAGCACTTGGAGCTTCCCTTCCCAAGGTCCAATCTCATCTTGATTTCTCCCGGGTATGGTGCTGAGGTGGGAGTGAGCACAGTATCTCCCCACACACCAGTCCGGCTCCTGTCCTGTGCTTCCTCTGCCCTGTGTCACCTCTGTTTCTGTCACCTCTTTCTCTTCCTTTGTATCAACTAAAAACACAATTCCAGGCTTGGCACCTGTGGCTCAAGTGGCTAAGGTGCCAGCCACGTACACCCAAGGTGGCGGGTTCGAATCCAGCCTGGGCCTGCCAAACAACAATGATGGCTCCAATGAAAAAAAAAAATAGCCGGGCACTGTGGCAGGTGCCTGTGGTCCCAGCGACTTGGGAGGCAGAGGCAGGAGACTTGTTTGAGCCCAGGAGTTGGAGGTTGCTGTGAGTTGTGATGCCACGCACTCTACCCAGGGGGACAGCTTGAGGCTCTGTCTCCAAAATAAATAAATAATAAATAAATAAATAAATAAATACACAATTCCAGGGAGAGAAATGGAAAACAGACATTTGGCTTTGGAACCAGATGTCAAAAGGGGGTGGTCTCCACTTGGAATAGTGGTGAATGGACGCACTGGTGGGAAGTGAGTGGGTGGAAATGAAATTACAGGGCAACATCGGGGCTGGGGGGCATTTTATTCTCCAGAGGGCTTTGCTCACTGTAAGGATGGCTCTGAGAGGGATGAAGAGGAGAGGAGGGGGAGAGGCCATAGGAGGAGCAGGCCTGACCCTCCCCCACCTCAGAGATAAAATCCAGAAGCTTCAAAGACTCAGCTCCCACTGGCCCCCATCCCCACCCACGCTGGCCAGGTCCCAGAGGCCACCTTCCTGGACTCCTGTGTCCTGCTTCTAGGGCACTGCTGGCAGGGCCACCACAGACATAGTGACCCGCACAGAGCCACAGCTTGACCTGAGGTCCCACTGCCCGCTGGCATTGTACTCCAGTCCCTGAGGGCCCGTACCCTGCCTAGGAGACAGCTGGATGTTCAGCCAGCGGCACCGGGCCTCGTCACAGGCCAGCACCACTGTGCCCTCAGGGTTGCTGTAGGTGCACCGGCTCCGGGCTGCCCTGTCCTCCGCCACTAGATCCCAGCTGCCCCCTGGCTCCCGGTCATCCAGCCCCGGGGCCTGGAAGCCCACGCGGTCCCGGGTGACAGGGCACACCAGCTGCTCCTCCGTCAGCGCAGGCACCACCTGGCCCTTGAGGTAGGCAGGGCCCGCGCAGAAGGTCTGGATGTTCAGCAGCCGGTCGGTGTACTGGTGCAGCCAGCTGAAGAGGTAGGCCAGGTGGCAGTCACAGTGCCAGGGGTTATTGTGCAGGGCCACGTTAAACAGGTTGTAGTTAGTGTCAAAGATGCCCTCCGGCAGCGTGGTCAGCTGGTTCCTGGACAGGCTGAGCAGCTCTAGCCTGGACAGGTTCTGGAAGAGGGCAGGGTGCAAGGCCGTCAGGTTGTTGCTGCCCAAATAGAGCTTGACCAAGTTCTCCAGGTCCCAGAAGAGGCTGCCTGGGAGGTGGGTGATGGCGTTGTGTGAGAGCGTGAGGGAGCTCAGGTTGGACAGGTGGGCAAAGGTACCCTCAGCAACAGTCTCCAGCTGGTTATGGGACAGGGACAGGCCCACCAGGCATGGGGTGTGGGCAAAGAGGCCTGCTGGTAGTGCCTGCAGGACGTTTCCCTGCAAGTTCAAGAAGGTCAGATTGCCCAGAGTAGAGAAGACAGTCGGTGACAGGTGCCCAATGGAGTTATGCTGCAGCCACAGACGCTCCAGACAGAAGAGCTGAGAGAAGGCGTCTGGGGGCAGCTCTGAGAGCCTGTTGCTGTCCAGGAAGAGCTCCTGCAGGCTGCCCAGACTGCCAAACACACCCTGGGGGAGGCTGGACAGCCCATTGTTGCTCAGCCTCAACATCTGCAGGCTGGTGAGTGGATGGAACAGCTCCCGGGGGAGCTGGGCCAGGTGGTTCTGGGCCAGGTTGAGGGTTTTCAAACATGTCAAAGGCTGGAAGATCCTCTCAGGCAGGGTCTGGAGCCGGTTCCCCTGCAACTGCAGGGACTCCAGGGCTTCCATGTGGAGGAAGAGGCCCTCGGGCAGAGCCTCCAGCATGTTGAAGTTGAGAGTGAACTTGCCCAGAGAGGCCAGATTGGAGAAGACATCAGTGCTGAGGTTGGAGAAGCTGCTGCCCGTGATCTCCAGGTCCTCCAGCCTGGGGAGGCCCCCAAAGGCATCTGGCCCAAAGTGTCGCAGCTGGGTGTTGAGGAAGACCACCTTGGTCAGGTTGGGGCTGCTGCTGAAGGCCCTAGTTTCCACCATGGTGAACGAGGTCTCCACAAAGACGATGTCTGTGGCATGTGGTGGGATGTCTGACGGGATGGCGGCCAACTCCTCATCTGAGCAGAACACCTCCTGGATGAAGCAGTCACAGCCCACAGGGCAGGGGTGGGCAGGCCTGGCCAGGAGCAGGAGAGAGGCCCAGAGCAGCCATGTTCCAGGGAGCATCTTCTAAATCTGAGGTGGGAGAAAAAACAGGAAGGGCCCTTCTACCAAGGACAGCGTTGCAAGGGGACAAGAGTGCCAGAGAGTGGACCCTAAGATGGGATCAGGCTGTGACCAAGGATTAGCCTCAATAGGGGCTATCATTTGGCAACAGTTTAACTTTAGATGCATACACACACACATACACAGATCCTTTTTGTGTTATGTGTAGACATAGGGTCTTGCTATGTCCCCTAGGTTGGTCTGGAACTCCTGGCCTTGGCTTCGAGCAATCCTCCTGCTTTGGCCTCCCAAAGTGCTGGGATTCCAGATAACAAGCATGAGCCACCATGCCCAGCCCATAGTTGTAATAGTTTATTTTCATACTACCTCACACAACATTGCCAGATATATGACACCGGGGTCTCACCTCCTGACAGTGAAGGTGTCATGTGGCCTGTACACAGTGACCCCGCAAGTGAGTGCAGTGGCAGGACCAAGATCCAAGTCTCTTGGACTTTCCATGTTCTCTCCAGATTGGAGAAAGCAATGAAAAGGAAACAAAGAAGCTTGGCAGAGAGGGGGAAAAGCAGATCATGGGTATTGTGGAATTTTTAAAGATGGTATGTAAAATATGGACAGATTATTCTGGAATTGGGAATTTCTAAACAGTCACTCTACCTTAGTTTCTAAATCTCAGTTCACATCAGAGCATAACCACGTGGAGATACTGGCATCTGCTCTTTGCACAGTCTGCTGAGGGTGAGGACAGCCACAGGGACCAGAGGACATGCTCCCCATCACTGCCACCGCCACAATGTCCTGCTCCTGCCTGCCTCTGCCCCACTACGGCAGAGCCAGTTGAACTTTCCAGCATTGAGCCCCAGACTCAGGGACTCCTCAGCCCAGTAGATGTTTTAAAATAGGGGAGGAGGTGCCAAGCTTTTAATTTGCTAAATATTATTATTTTTAAACTGTCAGCACCCACCCATAGGCCATAGATGGGTGATGCAGCTTATAGGTGTGTTTTGTTTATTCCTCAATGATCTTTTTTTTTTTTTTTTTTTTTTTTTGCAGTTTTTGGCCAGGGCCAGGTTTGAACCCACCACCTCCGGTATTGGGGGCAGCACCCTACTCCTTTGAGCCACAGGCGCTGCCCCTCAATGATCTTTTTTATATATGAATAAGTAACCAACATGTTAAAATTGGGAAATGTGACATTAAAAGTCCAGATTTCAGGATGACCTGGGGGCAGTGGTCCCACATCCCTGCACAGCAGGACCAGCTGGCGCTTAGCAGCACCTGCCTTGGTAGAAGGTGTATGTTCTCCAGGCACTTTATTTACAGGGCTTACAGAGATCCCACTCCCAAGAGTTCAAATCCCAGGTCTATCACTTCCTAGCTATGTGACCTTAGGCATGTTACTTAATCCATCTGTGCTTTGATTTCCTTAACTGTAAAATGGGGACAATAGTGCCGGCTATGTTAGAGTAATTGTGAGGATGAAATGAGTAAATCCTCATGATTTTAAGGCAAAGTCCAATGAATAATGAGTAATTAAAGGTGTATTAACTATTGTTAAAGGTTGCAAGCCACCGTCATTATAGAAAACCTTATTTGAGCACAAAAATATAAAAAGGACAAATGCTCTTTAGTTTTAATATATTTGGGTTTATCAAAAATTTTAGAAAGAAAGAAAATCCTCTTGCAACATAATCCTAATTTTTCTCAATTTACCTTTCCTCTATAAAATTTTACCTTTGGGTGGGCTTAGGGAATCTCTACCAGTCTTTGTTGGCTGTCTCTCTGCTGCCCTCTGCTGGCACTCTGTGACTCAGCTTCCAGCTGAAAGTCTCCCATAAACCCAGGGCTTAGAAAAAACCCTCTTTACCCTCCTTCAGACATTCAGTTTTTCCAGGAATTTTCTACCTAGTCAATAGAGAAGGAACAATTTCTCCCTGAGAAAATGCAGGCCTCTTTTCATTCTCCTCTGATGCAAACATAGATGCTAAGTAAGCTAAGAGGGGTGGTAAGGAAGGACTCTACCAGTGATAAATTCTGGCCTGAGATTAGAACCTGACTCCTGTGGTTACCTCCTCCAGGAAAAGGAAAATGTCTTTGCCACTTGGGACACGTGAAGGAAGGGAGCAAGGCTCAGGCCAGTGTGTGCCTCCTGGTTCTACTGTCCCTGGACCAGCAGTTACAGAGTTAGCTTTAGCAGGAGACTTTATTCTCTTGAAATTGATGCATGAAAGACAGAATAAAAGCAGAGGGCACTGGCTGAAGGGCGACAGGCAGCCAGCATCCCACCTGTATGTGGCACCACCACCTGGGCCGCCCTGAGGCACCTACACACAACCCTTAGGGATCCTGAAAGAAGCCCTCTCTGACCCCAGGAATAGGACACTGGCGTAGCCTTGAAATGATGGGTCTTCACGACTGTCCTGTTTGTGAGAAGACAGTATGCTCATCCCTCTAGCTCAGGACCCAGCACAGCATTGCCTTCCTGAGGGTTCAGAGTTTGCTGGAGGAACCTCTCTAAGGCAGCTTGGGAGGCAAGGCAGCCCTTCCCTGGGGTGGCTCAACACAGACAATTCTTTTTTTTTTTTTTTTTTGTAGAGACCGAGTCTCACTTTATCACCCTCGGTAGAGTGCCGTGGCATCACATAGCTCTCAGCAACCTCCAACTCCTGGGCTTAGGGAATCTCTTGCCTCAGCCTCCCGAGTAGCTGGGATTACAGGCGCCCACCACAACGCCCGGCTATTTTCTTGTTGTAGTCTGGCCAGGGCCAGGTTTGAACCTGCCACCTTCCGTGTATGGGACCAGCACCCTACCTACTGAGCCACAGGTGCTGCCCAATCCAGACAATTCTGCTGGAATCATGAGCCACACAATACTGGGATGTGAAAGACATCTGGCCAGCCTCTTCAGGGAGTATGGCGTGGGGCAAGGTCCCCAGGAGGGACCAGCAGGACTTGGGTTGCAGAGCCCAGATCTCTTGGTTTTCCCATTCATTCTTGCAAGGAAAACTGGGACCAGAGGGACAGGTGCATCATGAACAGAAAACTCAGGCCTCCTGGGGCCACGTGTCTGGTCTGCCCAGCCAGAGCTGCTCCTCTTCCCTTGGCTTGTGCCTCAAACTTTTAATCCATTGTCATTTAGAAATAATACAAATTAGAAGTTTCCAACAAGGAAAGTAGCAGCTCTAGAATTCAGGCCTTGAGTCAAAACTATGGCATTGGTGGTGCAGGAAATCAAGGGTAGGCGAATCAACTTAGACACCGGTGGTGGTGAGGGGGGAATGGGGGACACCTCCAAATGGAGTTTGGGCTGAGGGGACCACCTGCCAGTTCCCAAAGCTCCTGCATTGTGATCCTCAGAGCAAACCTAGATGTGCCCAGGACAGGGAAAGGGGCTTCCAGAGTGACAGTGACTGACTCAAGGGCATACAACTGAAGTGAGAGCTGTCATTTGTCCAGATGGTCCCAGTCCTGAGCCGGGTGCTTGCTGTGACCCCACAATGCTTCCACACCAAGGCAGTGGGATGTGTGGGTAGACAGGCCACTCCTCCATTTGTAGGTTCCATGTATACCAGGGACCCCACCCACTGTCTGTCCCCTTGTCTTCCCACCTGACTCTCCTGTACTGAGAGTAGAGACCCACCCACAGCTGGCCCCTGGGGACCCCATGGGCCTGAGGGCATGCACCTCTGTGGCGTGGTCAGCCTAGGGAAGATGGGGTCCTGGGCACCTGAAGCATGGCTTAAAATGGGGCATAGCCTCCAGATGAGCATGTGCCCTTGGCACCCCTTAGAGGTGTCCTGGGAAAGGAGGGCTAGGACAAGGCCCTCTAAAGTTCAAGGCAAGACCCCTCTTGCCCTGATCTACTAGGGCAGAGGTGGGAGGCAGGGATGTATTCACAGTGAGGGTGCAGAGTACTGATAACTTCCAAATGAGCCACTTCCAGCCCAAGGCCCTTTCTCATGTCACTCTGCAGTGGCTGAGAGTCAAACAGTCTGGGTTCTAGTCCTGTCTCCACCCCGGTTAGCTCTGTGGCCTTGACTAAATTACTTGACCTCTCTGTGCTTCGCTTTCCTCAACTTCCAAACAGTGAGCATAATACTGCCTTCTTCATGGGCTCTGAGGGCTGAGTAAGGAATCACATGGCAAGCTGCAAGCCCAGGCCCTGGGGCAGTCAGCGCCCAGAGGCGTCAAGGAGCCTAATTGCTCTGACTTTAGCTCAGGCCCCACTCTGCTCTGAAGTCCTCACAGAGCTTAGCCATGGCAAGCCTGATGGGATCCTCCAGCTGTTCCACACACACCAGTGAGAAGCCTCTCCACGCACTTTTGCTCTTTCCTCCCTCACCAAGGGAAAGTGCGATGGTTTTGTCCGTGGTTTCATGGAGCCTAGACCTGGAGGCTATAGCCAGGATGCCCTGGGCTTGGGCTCCTTCCCCAATCACCTTCAAAATAGCAAGACACCGAGGGGCTTCTGGAGATGAGAAGTACCCCTGCCAGGGACCATGGAGGCTGCCACCAGTGGGTGACTGCCAGAAGATTCCTGCTTTTCATCCGGGAATGAGACAGACAAATGCCCACAAGAATGTGCCTCACTTTCAGCAAGCCAAGGAAGTCTGGTTTTATTATGGGTTTTGTCTTTCAGTTGGCCGCATGCAAATGGCCTCTCCTTCCTCTTCCCAAATTGCTCTTGAGTTGGGATTTTTCTGTGCATGCCTCAAACCAGTCTGTCATCCACCACAGAGCTAAACCTCACCCCTTCAGAGGGTGATGGAAGCCCAGAACCCTGCCCCAGGCCCCAGGCGACTGCTGCTTGACATGGTGTCTGCCTCACCAGCAAGGCTAGATTCTGCCACTTGGTCCCCAGCTCGTCTGGAAGCAAAAAGGGAGCTTCCGAGACCCATTCAGGGCCCCGGCTGCCTCATCTGCTTCCCCGAAGTAGACCTGCTGCTCCCTGGACATGGACTCCATTCCTTTCCTCCCAGCAAAGTGAGTCAAGTGGGCTGGGTCCCACTCTATGCTACTGCACTGGCCAGCCTACCCCACAGCTTCCCTGTTATGTCCCAGGAAGTGAAGCCACCTCTCAGAGTCCCAGCTTCTGGGTCTGTAAACCCATCAATACTCATCATGATAATACCTAAATTACAGCATGGTTACAGCTACTGTAGCTCTTAAATGAGATGACAGGTGTTGGACCATTGCATAAAATAGAAACAACCAGGCTGTCTAACACAAGAGGTTGGTTAGAGGTTGGTTAGAGGTTAGAGCTTGTGCTACATGGATGCAATAGGAACCTTCTTCTGTCTTTAAAATTATAAGGCTGGGCACAGTGGCTCATGCCTATAATCCTAGCACTCTGGGAGGCCAAGGTGGGTGGATTGCTTGCGCTCAAGAGTTCAAGACTAGTCTGATCAAGAGTGAGATCCCATCTCCACTAAAAATAGGAAAAAAAGTAGCCTGGCATGGTGGTGGATAGCTACAGTGACAATTACTCCAGAGGCTGAGGCAAGAGGATCACTCAAGCCCAGGAGTTTGAGGTTGCTTGAGATATGAGGCCAGCTCACTCTACTCAGGGCAACAGAGTGAGACTCTGGCTCAAAAAATAATTAAAATAAAATAAAATTGAGAAGTTTGCAATATCTTAAACAGATAAATTGAGCACCAAAATGCTCTGGTTCAAGAAAATAAAATATAAAGTATAGTAAATATAAATATAAAATATAAAGTAAAATATAAATAAAATAAGAGAAGTTTGCAACATTTTAAAGAAATATATTGAGCCCCCAAATGCTACTTTGGGTACTCAATATATTGCGGCTGGGGCCCTGCCACAGTGTCTCTGCACCTGGCTCAGGGCTGGGCCCCAAGAGGGTGCGCAGACCCTGCAAGCTGGTTGGAGGGAGGTGTTTGTGGCTCATTCACACATATCTCGGGCTGCCCCCTTCATCCTGCTTAGGGGAGTGGCAGCTCTTCCGCTCTGCCAGGGCTATCACCTGGGTTCAGACTGCCACCAATACCTACAGCTGTGGGACTTGGCTAAGTAACTCCATCTCTCTGAGCCTCAATGTCCCCGGCTGAGAGTATAATTGCACCCCCTCAGTTTAAAATTAATATTCAGTTGGATGACAAATACGCTAAATAAGATGGCAAATATAAAGGGCTTAGCACAGTACCTGGCAAATGTTCCAGAAAAGGTAGTTACCTGCGCTTTCTGTTCCTGGAGTGACCATACAGTTTACCACGTGGATCTGGACGTTTCTGGGAATGAAGGTGGGGGGGGCGCACACTACTCACAACAGTGCATGCAAACTGGGCGGAACTGGGCCAACCTGGCCCTCTGGTCACCCGGCTCACCCCCACCCCACCCCCACACACATGAGCTCCCTGAGGGTGGGACCCGGTCACCTCCATTTCACAGCCCCCTGCCCAGCCTTCCTGCTGCCTCCTCCCAGGAGGGTAGGGTGCTCCTACCCCAGCTGACCATCCCGAGGGCATCTCCCCCATGGGAAGGGGTCCTGGGAGCTGCAGCCTGCCGGAGGTGGGAATGCTCTGAGACCTGGGAAAGCAACAAGCCCCTCTCCTGCTTCCCCCGCCCCCCCTGCACAGACCCAGAGCCCTGAGGTGACCCTAGGAGGCCTACCAAGACGGCTGAGTGGGTGGGGCCAAGCTGCCCTGGTCCTCTTCAGAGCAGAGGGGCGTCTGGTGTGACCTGCAGTAGCTGAATCCAGCCCCAGCACTGAGCAAAGTTCCGGGCAGTAGTTCCTCCCCTCACGTGGCCTAAGAGTTCCCAGAATGTCGCCAGGGTCACAGGGCAGGAGAGAGTCCGGGTAAGGCCTTTGAAGATTACAAAATGACGCTGCACTGCTCCCATGTAGAGCTCCCAGGAGAGCTCCCAGGCCCAGGTGGGCCTGAGGCTGCAGATTTGAAACTTTTAGGTCCCCAAGGGCACCCGCTGCAGCCACCAAGCCCCAGAATATTCCCAGCAGGCTGCTGGTTGGTGAGGCCCGGGGCCCCCGAGCCTGACCTCAGTGGCAGGCAGCCAGGACCCTGTGCGGCTCTCAATGCCAGAGACATACTAAGAGGGTTGTGGGTTTGTTGCTTTGTTGTTGTTGTTGTTGTTGTTGTTTGAGACAGAGCCTCAAGCTGTCCCCCTGGGTAGAGTGCCATGGCATCACAGCTCACAGCAACCTCCAACTCCTGGGCTCAAGCGAGTCTCCTGCC